CACCCACGTGTGGTACAGCCGTATGCCATGCATGTGTATCGTACGTAGCTGTGTCGGGCTCGATCCTTTGCCGGCCGCGACGCGTGTTAACACTTTGGGACGTCTTATCGCTTCTCCTTACCGTACGCATGCATACCAGGCCGCAGAGAGAGGCGAAGTTACTGCTGTAGCCCTCACACCCTATTGTTCCACGCCCTCCTCTCGCTGTGTCGCCCGCTTATTTCCGCGCCCGCCAAAACCAACGAACGTTCGGGTCCGGGGGTATCAGGACAAGGCGGACCAATTGGATGCCGCGACTCTGGCCAAGCTCGACGAGGTCTGCCCGATGATACCGATCCCGCCGCGCTCCGCCGTCCGGGACCCCACCCCGTCCCCGCCAATCATCGGCCGCCAGGGGCTCCGCCGCGCGAGACGGTCGATGGGCGCCAGCGCCGCCGCCGGCGGTGGGGGTGGTTCCTCCTCTGCCGGTGCCGGCGGCGGCGGGGCGGACGGGGACGAGGAAGACGATAACGATAGCGGGGACAACCGGGGGGGGGGGCGCGGGGGGGGCGGGGGGGGGGGGGCGGAGGGGGTATGGGCAGCGGGTCGTCGTCTTCGTTTACCTCTCTACCGACGAGGACCCCGCCGGCGCTCCTCATCCCGCAACGGACAGATTCGGGGCACGGCGGGGATAGCCCCGTCCTGCCTCCCCCTGAAAAGGTGCCAAAGCTCGACGACGACGAGGACGGCGACGACAGAGCGGGCGGGTCGGCGGGGGCTGCGGCGGGGGCCGCCGGCGCCTCCCCGCATTCCGCCGCCGGCGACTTGCTCTCTCTGCCTGGCGCTCCACCCGATGATATTTACCACTCGCCTTTCGCGGGTAGCAGCCCGCTGGGCAGCTTGGGAGGCGGGGCGGCGGGGGTGGCCGGGGGGCGGGGTCAAGGGGCTGTTGGATCGCCGCTTTTGTTTGACGACCCCGGCTCTGGTTTTGGGCACAAGGGTCCGGCGGGTGCGGGTGACGCGACGGGGGGCGCCGGTGCCGCTGGCGCCGCCGCTTTGCAGATGCCGCCGTCCGGAATCTCCGGGAAGGGGATGGGGGTGTCGTCACCTGGGGCCGGCGAAGCAGCAGCGGCGGCAGCTGCGAGGACGGCGCTCGGGTTGTCTGGGATCGAGGGGTTTCCCGCCTCTCCGGATCGGGCGCTGTTGCCGGCCGACGAAGAAACCGGGGCGGGTGGCGGCGGCGAGTTGGGAGCTTCAGCAGGGGGACCCAGCTCTCTCTTGGGCCACGACGGGGCGGAAGCGGATGATCCCGTCGCCTCCGCCTTGCGAGGCATCGGCGACGACGTCGATCTCATCGGGGGCAGTGACGATCCATACGGCGGTGCGTCAGCGGCGGCCTCGCACGCCGTTCCGCCGACCGGCGGCGGGGGGGGGGGGGGGGGNGGGGGGGGGGGGGGGGGATGTTGGGGCTCACCACCACCGCGGACCCAACACCGGTAGCACCCGCAGCAGTTTCAACGCCGCCGCCAACGGCACCGCCGGCATCCGCGGTCTTGTCTCCGCCACCCGCAACAGCAACGTCCACCGCGGCAACACCGCCGGCGGCGACATCGGCATCCCCAGTTTTGTTTCAGCCGGCGGCGGCACCCGCGGCTTCGCCGTTGCCGACGACACCACCGTCGACAACGGCGACCCCTACGACCGGCGCAGCAGCAGCAGCAGCGGCGGCGGCGGCGGCGGCGGCGGCGGCGGCGGCCCCAGGGGTAGGAGGCGGAAGCAGCGCCGCTGCGTCGTCGGCCCTCGCTCCCGAGACAGCGGGAGCAGCGGAGGGGGGTCCGGCGACCGACGCACCGCAAGCCGGCACGGGATTGCGGGAGAGTTTAAGCACGGGTCCCCGAGCCGCGCTCGCGACGACACCAAGCCCCCTCCCACCCCCAGCAGCTGCGGGGGCGGCGGCGGCGGCGGCCGGTGGTGACGGGGAAACTGCGGAGGAAAGCCCCTCGCTGCCGCCAGGGGACTCGTCGAGTGCGAGTCCGGGCCCGTCGGGGACCTAGGGTGGTGTGCCAAAAGCGGGGTAGACCTAATTAGCTGTGGCCGCCCGAACCTACTGTAGTTCGGGGGCTCCGTGTATGTCTCGTGTTAGCCACTCTGCTCTCTTCTTTTATTTCCTCCCCCGACCGGCCTCGTAGCCCAAACCCCACACACTTTTTCGAAGAGTGGGTGGTAGTAGCCTTGGATGTTGTTGTTCTTCTTACCGGTTTGATTGTCCCAGGAATGATCGACCCGCCGGCTGCTGAATTGTTCCCTTTGAACTTGAACTCGCTTTTGATCGGTAGGGAGAGAGGGAGGGAGGGACAGCGTTGTACGGTACTGTGGTTGGAGGGCCACTTCTTATATTCCCTGGAGTACAGGAGGGACAAACTTTCCGACAGATTGGAGGGTCCGGCGCGTTGTTTTTATTGTGGGGCTGCAGCGGTGGTCTGGATTGCTGGGGGGTGGGGGG